CCCTCCTTCTTCCTAGTACATGTAGTAGGAGTAGTATTAGAAGCAGTATCACAATAATAATGACAACAATTATTATTATGGTTGGTGGTGTTACTAATGTTATTTTTGTAAATATTATGTTTGTTATTGTGATTATTATCTTTATCATGATTATTATCGTTAATATAAATTATTATTGTAATTATTATAATCATTATTATTGTTATCATTATGATGAATATGAACATGATGATTATGATGACGATTATTATAAGTATATAGTATTATTATAATTGTTATCATATCATTATCAGGTGGGCTGTATATCGCACAGACCACCTTATAATTTCCTTAGCATTGCCTTTATTATTTATTTTTCCTATTTCGAACCACTTTTTTGTAAGCACGATTACTTGAAAATGGTCATTCTAAGCATTTAAAAAAAGACAATAAGCTATCTCAAATGTGCCCTTCGTATTGTCTCAAATTTTAGTTGGACCAGCCCACCTATACTTGTTCCAAACAAGTATTACAAATCTAGTTATTGAATATTTCTGGTGGAACACAAATATTAGATCTGGTTATATTTATGGATATTTCAGCCGTCTCTGAACCGATTTTGATCAAACAAAGATGTTTTTGTCATTTAAATTGTATGTTCTTTCAAATTTGATACTCAGTTTTCATTATCTCACAACAAATATTTTATGTAGCGCCCTCTGCAACAGAGCTCAACTATCCCTTTAATTAGCCGACACCCGGCCCAAAGACGTACTCGCATTGGCCGCAAGTTTTGACACGCCGCACTCGAGTCCAGTGGCCCGGGTGAGGGATTGTACCCCGCCCTTGCTTCGTACAGCGAAATCTATATAGTACTAGTATTATGATAAAGCGCGGCCATACCACCATGGAGGCATGCACGGCGCATTATGCCAATATTTTGATGCTCAACCCGTCTCAACGCAAATTTAGATTTAAACTGAAAATGCATTGAAAGGTTTAGTTGTTTCATTTTAAAGGGAAAGTCCACCCCCAAAATAAGTTTGTTTCGATAGAGGCAGAATAATAAGAAAATCAGGTGAGTGAAAGTTTGAGCAAATTCTGAATGAAAATAAGAAAGTTATGAATTATTGAAGTTGTGATCAATCAAATACAAATTGGCAACTCTGTGACTTATTATACGAGCTCTCTTTCATTTGCTTTGTGCATAATATTCCATAAAATCATGTTTTCTTCGTTATTGATGACGGAATATATATTTGTTCCTTGCAGGGGGAGTATAGAAACATATTTGCAATTATTATATTTAGGGTGCATGCATGGTTGAAATTTTTCTTGAGGGAAAATGAAAATTTTAGATTTTTTTAGTACTGAGCAAATGGAAGTTGAGCTCGCATGATACGTCATAGAGTTGCCAATTTGTGTTTGATTGATCACAACTTCAAAAATCCTAACTTCCTTATTTTTAATCGGAATTTGCTCAAACTTTCACTGGCTTGTTTCTCTCATTTTTCTACTCCTATTAAAACTAACTTAATTTCAGGGTGGACTTTCCCTTTAACGAGAATTAAATTCTCATCTCCGAGAGTCCTTGGCAATGTATACGAAATCGTTATTCCTGGTGGTCCCCCTTCTTTTCTGCCAAAACACGGGGGGGGGGGGCATTTGATATGATGTCCCCTAGGAAAAATCGCGTGTGGGGGGACGGGGACGTGTCCTCGTATCTCCCCGGATTGACGCCCATGTCTTTGAACCATAAAACACAAAAGACCTTTGAAACATTCCAGATTCGGTTTAGAATATGGCAAGAAATTGACACACTTTCCTATACTTACCGACTACTAGCTTGACCGGCAGTGACTGGACCATTCCAGTAGTTATATACTGAGATATTATGGGTATGATGCATCCAAATAGAACAACTAACAAGACCAACTTAGCCTTGAAGTAGAACATGAAGCTCATGATGACGACGGTGACAACGACAATGATGATGATGGTGATGATGATGATGATTATCAAGACTGAAATATCAAGTGAAGTTATTGTGAAACTGCGAGTACTGCTAGTACACACTTCCGTGTCTTCTGTATCCGGCCAAATTCAAGCGAAACCGTAAACAGTCTATGATGTAAGTTCAAAGTTCAATTTGTAAGAAAAACCGAATCGTCGCACATGAATGGATCTTAAAGGTACTATGTCCCATTTGCAGGCCAACAAATTAAAAGGTTAAATATCAATGGCATTTGAAAGACAATTCAATTCAATTCAACAATGGACTCAAACCGCGAGTCTTGTGATCGATAGTCCGGTGACGTATCCACTCAACCACAACACCGCTACCTTTAGTCAATGAATGATACTTTTAAAAAGGTGAGATTTATCACACGTTTACAATTGTATTCCATGTTCAAAGAAAAAAGAATGATTCTTCTCTTCTTCATTAAGCCGTACTCTTCATACTCATGACTTTTACGATCTAATTTGCTCATTTCCATAATTGTTATCATTTTCTAAACTTATTCCCATCCTGTCCGTGTTACTAGAAAAGTAAAGTCGGAAAAGAATGGTATTGCAATGCCATGTTAAAATACCAGACATAAAATTCAAAATTAGAGTCATTCTCCTCTCCTTCTCAACTCTAGATTTACTTGTTTGAATACTGTATTTTCACGTTCAAAGCAATAACTCTCTCCATCCATACCTCCTCCCCCCCCCCCTTTTTTTTTTTCTTTCTCTCTCTCTCTCTCTCTCTCTCTCTCTCCTCTCTCTCTCTCTCTCTTTTCTTCCTCTTCTTCTTCATCATCTTCTTCTTCTTCTTCACACCAGCATCCAAATTATATTGATAGTAATATGTTTTTGTGTGAATGCACTAATATACAGTAATAATTTTCAGTTAAATCAGTACAAATGTGACTTTTGATAAACTATTTATATAAAAATAAATGATTGTGAATATTCAGAAAATAGTATTAATTCTTCAAAGTTCATAACAGATTTTGTAACCTGAGCTAAGGCAGGGGAAAATAAGGGATAAAAAGGGAAGTTAGTGCGATAAAAATACATAAAGCAATTGATGAATAATAAAGCAATGGCGTCACAAACTGATAACCAAATTGGCTATTTGTCTAGTGATTTTCTAAGCTCCATAGTTGTTCATACTCTAACCAAAAATGAATAACTTCCTCATTTTTTTAATCCGATTTTACTCAATTTTTTTGCTCTGTTTCTCTTGATTTTCTGCATCTATTCAAAGCAAAATATTGTTGGAGTGGACTTAGCCTTTACGTATATTGATTTGCTTGTTTGAATAACGTTTATAACCTCCAGTACAGTGGTTAGTTACCCCCCCCCCTCTCTCTCTCTCTCTCTTCCTGTGAATGATTATTTCTCATTTTTCTTGATTTTGCTTTTTTGAATACTAATCGGACTCAAAATGAATTATCCTTGTTTTCTGTTTGTCACTCTATTATTTGTTAAATGTATAGATTTGCTTGTTTAAAATATTATTTATTAGATTCATTTCAAGAAATACAGTGTATTCCCATTATCTCCCTCTATTACCTTGTGTAGTTCCTACTTCTGAAATTGATTTACTTTTGTGGATGTTCCACGCCCGGTTTATTATTTAAAATTCTCCCTATTTTCCATTTAAGACATTAATAAGTAGACATAAGTCAAAATCTAATTTCTTAAATGTATTACATTATTCTTAATGATTTTGAATTTTGATTTACTCATTTGAATATTTTTCTCTGCAAAAGTACATTCCGGCAGATTTACAGCAAGCTCTATTATCATTTTCTATGAATTGTAATTTTTTGGCTCATTAACATAATTAATTTTTCTTTTAACACTACAACGTATTGAAAGGAACGACCATCTCTCTATTATTGTTTATAGTTGAGACCTTTAAATGTAAGATTTCCTTTTTATTGCACATCATATTCAAATCAAAAGATGTCCCCACCTCTCTCTCTCTCTCTCTCTCTCTCTCTCTCTTCCCCTCTCCCCCTCTCCCTTTTCAAAACTCTGCAATTTCTTGAGAAACTCTCTGACAAACAAACAAATCCAGGTGGTCACCAGTATTATGACAACAGTAAAACAACACAATCGAAACAGAAATTGATATAAAGTAAAACGCAAAGCCTTGTGGGAAGGTGCCAATTTTTATCCTGAACATAAGCGCTTGCTCCCTCTTTCTACGATAAAGCCGTAATATAAGTCGTGCACCCAATGACCATAGTATTTCCATGGCCCAACGAAATAGTGTCGGGCAGCTATATGAATAAACCTGAGAACACTTTTGTGAAAAAGTAAGAGAAATACTAATCACCATTTACAAAAGAGGTTACAGAAGAAAGAAATATATTTTGCAAAAAGTGGTGATGTGAAAAAATATTGCGACACTTGATATTTCAAATGATTGGTGTCAATCCTTATTATTATTATTATTATTATTATTATCATTATTATTATTATTATCACCATTACCACTAGGCTTACTCTTATTATTATCATACTGTAATCCCTTCATCATTATTATTTACTGGTATAAATACCCTACAGGTGAATAATAAGTGTAGATTCTGTTTATTTGTGAACATGGCCGAAGCTTCGAGACGCTCGACATTCTTCGAAATAAGACGTGACCTCACCACCCCCACTATTCTCCCAAGCCACACCATGATGCCTGCCTGGAATCAACCTGCTTAGTGTCCATTTCCATGGAAACACGCCTGCCATTGCATCAACAAGTTTAACCCTCTGACTGAGCACTAGTGTTAAGATCGACATGACCCCCTTTTGTGACATCTCTTATATTTACTTTCTGTTGACTTACTTCTTGGAAAGAGGAATTCAAACAGTCAATGAAGGCGGTGACGTCACAATAGATAAAATGACTTTCTCAAGTCTTTTCTCAGAAAGTTGGTCCTTTGGTTCTCTTGAATATATGATCAAATTGGTTTTTCTTTGTCAAATTCTTCGACAAATAAAAACCGCCGTTGCGTTTTCAGGAATGAGTGGGAATGCATCGTTACTGGTCATACCAACCAACGCGCTCAAAACCTATAAAGTTACCCTATTGGATGTGAAAATATCATTCAGCTTTTGAGGATTCAAAGCCCGAGGCCAAACAGAAACTTTTAAAATCAACATCGTTTATATTGTTCGATCGACTTCAAAGATATTGATCAGAGACCATGACGGCCATTACCATGCCATTAACCAGTCAGGACGAAAAGGATGTCTCTCAAACACAGAAGGTAAGTTTGACAGACGTTTACAACTTCATTTTAATTGAATTGAATTGGACTTATTATAAAGTAACACACACACACACGTGCATAATTATGGAAGAATTCAAAGAGAGCCGATACTCCTCCTGTTTAGAACCCAAATGAAATTCATATGAGTAAATTGTTTTTAAATCCTGTTTTCTACTTCCTTTGAACCCCGAATCGGTACTGATCCATGATATGTTAGCATTAGTGTCTTGACTTGTGTTACAGATGGGGGAGGGGGTACGCCACTCAAAATCACATCATTTGATAATATGAATAGATTTCGTCCGTTTTTCCTCAACTTACAATGATTCGCTTACCTGCTAAACTAATAGATTATAACAAGTTGTATTCTTTTTTCTTGATCGGAAATTTGTCACGAGGGACGAACTGCTCTCTTGCCTCTCCTCTGATACGATTTTTGTAATTTTTACCATTTTACAGACGAAAGGCTGCTCACTGTGGGTGATAGCTGTGTTGATTTCGATGCTCACTCTGCTGGTTTTTGCTGGGTTCGTCTTGTTTGCGACTGTTTCATGTATAGCGCCATCATGCGACTTGCCGGTTCATGATTTGGTAAGTTTGTTTTTGTTCTTCTACTTCTCCTCCTCCTCCTCCTCTTCCTTCTTTTTATCCTTCTCCTTTTCCCTTTTCTCCTTTATTTTTCTTCTTCTTGCTATACTTCTGCCTTTTCCTGATAACTAATATATCAGGTATTCTTGCATTTCCCTTTGGTGCTTATTATTTAACTATATCACAACAATTTGGTCTAGTTAATCAAATGATCAATAACCTAGGCTGATCAAAAGTTTCGGATCGCCCTTGTTCTGAGCAATTTAGTAAGAGAAAAAACATCTATCGTTGAATTTTGCAGGATTTTAAGGCACATGGAAGGCTGGGCGATAACGACTTCGATGATGACTTTCATTACGACCATGAACACAACGTTCTAGTCAAGAAGACCACCGGCCAAGGTTCAATGGATAACACTACAATAACTGTCTTGCATGATTTTAAAAGAGTGAGTACAAGTTTAGTCTTATTCCTCTGCTTAGACTATTTCCGTGTCAAGCGCCCAATTAGCTGAGAAAAAACACACCTTCAACGCTAAAACGAAGACCGTCCTTTCATTCATTTCTATCACGATCTGTGTCGAATGCGCGTAAGGGAGGAGGACATAGATGATTGAAGAATAAAAATATCTAAAAACGGACATAATCTGGACTAATTTAGTCTTAGCCATGCTTACTTCATTTGTTGATAGACCGTATCTTAAACCAATATGACGAATAAAACCAATATTGGAGATATATTTTCGTTCCAATAAATGATCTGTTTTCAAGAAAGCAACCACAACATATACTGCACATTTACTTCCACATAATCCGTAGAGTTTGGTTTCATGTATTTATCTTCTTTTAAGCGTGAGTTTAAAATCATAAAATAATATACTCCAGACAGAACACAATTGATTAAAATGTTGCATATTTTGTAGAGACATCAGTGGGCATCCAATGTTCATGAACAGCTAACATGATATTTCATCACGCTTGTCATGCTTAAATCGTGGAGCCGTTAGGGAAGCGGAGGGGTAGGTTTTATTTTAAAAACACGATAGTGTTATTTGAGGAAAAGGCAGATTTTCGTCAATAAGTTGGATTTAAGATTTTGGATTAGTCTTTCTTTAACCTAACTACTTAAATGTACCTTTAACTGAATGGTTGATGTATCGGTTTATTTTGCATTATGACGTGTATCATGTCAAATTGTGAACAACCAGAGTGTGCTGTCATTCCGTATATACGATTCCCAGAAAGTAATCATCGATATACATCAGTATTAAACGTACATCTAAGTGCTCCGTTGTTCACATTTCTTTTACATTAACCGGTATAATATTATATTGCGATAAATTTCCTTTGTTTTGCAGGGTTTTACAACATATGTGATTCCATCCCAGAAGAAGTGCTTTTTAGGGGTGCTAGAATCAGACAGCTACGACATGCTCTTACATGCGAATAACGGCGGTTTCATGGAGGTAAGCATATCGATCTATACTCAGACGAGGCGTGTTTGAGTGGGTGGGGGTGGGGAGGGGGGGTAGCAGGAGTGGACCGATATAATTGTTAGGAACAGGGAGGGGGGTAGAATCCCTTTGAGCTCCAAGGCTGATTACCGGGGCGGGGGATTTCCCATCATTGTTTCTGTTTCACCTACTTTTCCCCTTTTTGCCTTTTCTCTGTATCGGGGTTGGTGTTAGGAGTCGACGACCGTTTAATGGAAAACAACAAGAACGAGTCAGTAGACGAGAATGTAAGGATGAAAGTTGTGGAAATGGAAACTAATGGAGACAACATTATTTATCTCAACAAAAAAATAATTACAATTTGTGATATCCAGGGAACAGGTGTCTTGGATATAAGAGGTAGGGTAGGGGATATCGTCTGGATACGTTTTTGAAAGGTTTGATAGCTTCAAAATTGCCGGGAATTGCCGGATTTTCCCTTCCTGTGTGGAAAAATCATTTCCTTGATCGCCTTTGCCCCATCTCACCCCTGGAAACCTCCACGCCTAGTGATACCGGTATCCCCTTCCACCCCGTCTCAAATTTCCTGTTCCAAAACTACGTCACTGGAACTATCAGTTTACGTCCACTCGAGAAAGTCCTGAATTATAAAACACAAAAATTTACAAGGAGGCACCGTAAAAAGGGTTAAGATAAAAGACATAAGGTAAAGCGTCAAAATTATTATTTTTTTCTTTTTTTAGTAGAAACGAAGATCTCCATTCTTTAGCATTTAAAATGTTTAAAATACCTATAAGGTATATTCTATCCCCATTGATCCTCGTGAAAATTTGACAAAATACTTTCCCAATAATCGGTTTTACATACACCTCCTTCTACGGTTATCGAGCAACAGCCTGTACGACTTGCTTGGAATAATAATGAGTAGAAATATTGATTTGAATTATCGTCACAACATCGAATTCCAAGAACATATCTAGGATCATATAGCACTCAACAGGGATGTCTCGCTTCTCAGATGTTATTCTTTTGCATGAATATTTGAATGATATTTGTGTTTGTAGATTGATCGAACCACAGTCGAATGTTTTTGATTCGATGTTTTTGTGTTTAGACTTCTTTTAACCTTTGTCTGTGGGAGCCGGGTATGGGAGGCCCCTTAATGGGAATGATAGAACTCAGTTGTCAGTGGCTTAGCGATGTGACATTGGGACTCGTTTCATCTGGGGTAGATTAAGGGTCAAATATAGCTGCTTCCTTTCTTTTTAAAGATTCACCATCTCCGTTTTGTAATTTCTATCATCAAGTATTAATCGTAATTTAGCGTAATATGTGAGCTGTCAAGAGGATTAAGTCATCATCACGTATTGCCTTTCCCATTTCGTTACGAATGCCCATCTTTTATAGTTGCATGTTCAAGTAACGCAGCCTGGGGTGCTCCATGTTGGAGAAAAACACAGTGGACGAATTAAATCTCATCCTCCTCGTCTTCTTCCTCTTCCACTTATTCTTCTCCTCCTTCTCATTATTATTTGTATTTCATAATTTCCACATTCCCCTTTTTCTTCGTTTTTCTATATGGTTATAGGGTTTAGAATAGGGGGGGGGGGGGTCTGTGGGGTATTATTTCTTCTTCTTCTTCCTCCTCTCTGAATTGATATTTCTTGTGGTTATATAATCATTCCTTTCTACTATTATCATTTCCCATTGCAGCTCTCCAACCCAATGGGTCATCAATACCTCTCACATGGTATCATATCCCCGTCTTACCTGGAGCGGACTGCGAGCTCTCTCGTCGTCAACCGCTGCTCAGGTCTGGAGACGAGCTGGATAGAACCATCCATAGAGGGCGCTTCAATACAGAAAAGAGGAGCCATTCGAAACGGTCCGGGAGATACTGTGACCATAACCCCAGATGGCACTGTTATTATCATCATATTATAAGTAGGAATTTAAATGTTCACGTCGAAAATGTGCAGATACGACATTGAGATACGAGTAACAAGTTCGCACTGCAGGCAGATGTAGGATACTTGTTGCAGGAAAACAGAATCCAGAAACGGTCTGGAAGATAGCCGAAAGGAACAAAAACATGAATGGAAATGGATTTTTGGAGAAGTTGGCTCAGAGTAAATCACTTCATTTTGCAGAAGATGAGGCGAACGGGACCAGAAAATTTAAAAAAATTAAACAATTAAATGAATATCGTTGGAATACATTTTGCTGTATTACAGATAAGTCATGAGTTGTATGCACATAAATAGACCCGACAACGAGCGGTCGTGCCGACTTTGGTTAAACTTCCTTTGTACCCCTTTGCAATAATTGATATTGATTTAATTACACAAACAGTTTTACCGAATGCGTTTCGCATGTATCATTTATTGTTTTGTCAAAATGATACAAATGAGAGAAATCGACATTTCCCATGAATGTGTGTTTATGGTTTCGCAAAAATATTTATTTTCGTAAACTTTGAGCTGAAATAAAAGTGTACATGTGTGCAGTAATTGTTACCAAATTTCCTCGCAAACTCACTTTAACTTGTTATCTTGTAAGATTTAGAAACAAGTTTGGAAGCAGATGTGTGTGAGAGAAAGGGAGAGAGAGAATGAGAGAAAAAGAGAAAGAGAGGGGAGCCGGGAGGGAGGAAAGAGAAAGAAAAAGAGAGAGAGAGGGGGGGGGGGACGGGATATGGAGGGAGAAGGAGGAGGAGGAGGAGGAGGAGAGAGAGACAGAGAGAGAGAGAGAGCATACCCTCGTAGTCATATTATAAGGATAATGTTTGGGGGAGGGGTAGAGTGATGTATTCTGTTTGATACATTGCAATGTTAATGGTAGTGAAAAATGATACAGCTAACTCGGAAGCTATACAAGACCTGCATGAACACACCCGAGTACGTCCAGTTCAGTCTGAAGACAAGTCTAATGTTTTATCCCTCCCTAGCTGATGAAGCTACAGCGTGAGGTCATACCGACACACGTGTCCGTGGATAGGTGGTACGTCTCGGGGACCTAACCCTACAAGAGACATTGCACCGCAGGGGTATGCGGCTGACCCCTACTTCACATGAAACCACATCGAGCTCGGAATGCTAACAAGCGTGCTGGTTATCGTCGGAAAATAGATAAAAATCAAACTTGTGACGTGGCTCTGAACATTTTTTGTAAGGTTTCCAGCACAAAGCAGACATTTTTGATAATAACGAGGAGATCATAATTACAGAGGACCGTATACATGGGCATCTCAGATTCATTATTTGACCGGTCTCGTGTTGCATAGTGTGGTTTTGTTGCGATCAACTCATGACGGCTGGCGCGTCGAACGAACTCGTGTATGACGGTGATGACGGTAGACTGGGTTGTCTGTACTTTGCATTCTTAGCCACCACCTGTTATATTGATCCATTCCATTAGATGAACCAGGGATTGTATGGCATGTCTCCGGATGAACAGATTGGAGAGTGAATTTTGAAGGCTGAAAGGCAGAAAAAGGTATCGTATACAGGTAAATTCGCTCAATATCATGAATATAGAATTGAACGAGATAATCTGACGGTTATTTACAATATAATATACCTCACACTCATGATATTGCATCAAATTGTTCATGTCAAAGGATAATGATATGGCTTTAAAATAAATGTTTCTTGACTTCAGCAGTAAATGTGTTATAAAATGTGGTTACATTTAACAAGCACTATTCACCATGCATAGGCATGGTCATGACCAATCAGTGTTTCTCAAGAAAAAGTCTTCGTCTAACGGCGGACCTGGGATCGCAACAGGAAGAGAAAAAAATATCGTTCATGAATTATAAAAGTCAACATCCCTTTTCAAGCTTTACCTTCTACATTTTCGATCGCAAATTGAAGGGGAAGATTTTCCGTCACATGGATCTACCTGATGTGCTCTTGTTTTCCCTCGCATAGAAAGGAGGACATGTTTTCCTGCTTGGGGGACTGTCCCTGCTGGCTTAGATATCTCCAGCCTATAATTACTAGTTGGTGGTTTTATAACGTGTATTGTTAAAAATATGTCCCATTTGCAGGCCTCACCCGCCCCCCTCCCCCCCCCCCCATATGAAAAGGTTAAATTCCAACGGCATTTGAAAGATAAAACTAATTTAGAACTTCCCTTTGTTTGAAAAATAAAAGTTTTAAAAAGATTTTTTTTTTTTATATAGAAATTCACTCAAAACGGAAGTGCTTGAAAATGCCTTTGAAGTGGGTTATTGATGTAGACAAACGCTCATCTATATTCTTTTTAAGAAAGTCTATGTTAATATTACCAGAGAAAAAAAAGAAGTCAGTCAGTCACTCCAAATTGTCTGTAAGTGAAGTCTAGAAAGTTAACGGGTTTCCTTGCATAATTTGAATACTAGGAGTCTTGGACACTGCTAACGTTTACATTTCACAGATAGGACATACATAATAATAATAATAATAATAATAATAATAATAATAATAATAATAATAATAATAAGATATTTCTATACCGCAAATTACATATTGCCTCTATGCGGTTTAGAAGGAAAGTAGTTGAAAGTGAAGGAAACAAAATTCGAATTACAAATTACATCAATCAATTCAATTAACATTAAAACTTTGCAATGAAAATAAAACATGTACATAATTACAAATCACTTATACCAAAATACAAACTAATGATATACGTTAATCTACAAAAAATATTAAAGGCCAAAGGTCAAAAGGGATATTCAGGAACAAGACTATGTGTTTTTAGCATTGTTTTAAATGTATTTAAAGAACTATCATTGCGAATTTGAAGGGGGAGATTGTTCCAAAGAAATGCACCATACGTGATACGTGACATATTCATAATTCCTGCAAAGTTCTACAGCCGGAATTTGATGTTGGCTGCAAATGAGACATAGTACCTAGTGACATTTATTCCAAGTGATTTCGAATGAAATTTAACCTATTCTCCTGAGCTCTATTACTACTATAGGGCTTCACGGATTTAGCCGTATAGATCTTCCTAAAGTCGAATATGGTATAAATGACTTCATATTCAAATATCCACCGATACTTGTACTATTTCAACGTGGAGAATTGCCACTTCGCGCTTTTAAATACGAGATGAAAATGCTTTATATTTAATAAATTTTGTTTGCCCTTTTGAGATTAAAAACAAAAATACTTACGCCTGTGTAGCAGTGCCCCATGGTCAGGTGTCGGAGCATAAATTCATTACGGGGGGGGGGGGGGGGGGGTTATGGAGCACTATTTTTTTCGTACTTAACACCTACGGCCAATAGCGATTATAGGGCCGCCGCAGCATTCCCACGGTCACAAACGGTAGCGGTAAAATTATAATATGTTCGGGAAACCGCACTGCATATTTTGAATTTTGAGACAGAAAATCTGCAGCTGCCGTACGGCCTTTGAAGTGATGACGCACGGTCGCCTGAGGACGCCCCAGCGGCGGCCGTAGCTTTTTGACAAATACAATGAGGCCGAAGGGGGACGATACGTCGACCGTGCGGCCAGACTGATGCTACCGCTTCACCCCTGGAGTGTTTAAATCTCAAGGCCATCGTAAGGCTGACGTACGGTCGCCGTGGAACCACTCTACGGCATGACTACCGCGTGTCTAATCGCTACGGCGATCCTAGAAATGAAAACAGTTATAACTCCGCGTTATAATCCCACGGTGACCCGTACGGACTGTAAAGATAGGGATACGCCCTAGGGTGACCCTGAGGCCACCGCAGATTATCTGCGGCTGCCGAAAGTTATTGATGAAGACAAATGCTCATGTACTCTTTACAGCTCATTTTTTGGATGTTATTACCAAAGAAGAAAAAAGCCAGTCGGTCACTCAATAGTGTATGACAGTGAAGTCTAGCAAGTACACGGGTTTTCTTGCATAATTTGAAAATTAGGACACTGCTAACGTTTAAATTTCACAAATAGGACATTATATGACATATTCATAATTCTTGCAAAGTTCTACATAATTTGATGTTGGCTGCAACAGGGACATGGTATCTTTAATATGATCATTCGAAAACAAAAATCAATGATTAACCAAGAAGTTACCAGTAACTTCTTGGATTAACGTTTTGTCATTTTAACCATGTGGTTCTCGTAGAGTAAAGGAACTGGAAGCATACCCGCAGCTTTGTATCACTCTAATGAAACTAGTGCTGAAAGACATGTCAAAGTCGTAGTATGAATTTTCTGAACCTCAACATGTTTCTATGTTAGTAGAATCCCATTATTGCAATGCTCATGAACACGATGTTTAAAGAGAAGGTTGAGTTCTGGGAAGAGGTGAAAAATAATTTGTGAACTTTATCATTCTTATTATGCAAGTGTGGAAGAACATCAGGTAAGACATTTTCCCTGAAAAGCATGGCTCTTCAAAGGTGACACGACATTTGCTCCTGCGACAATTGCTCCGGGCTTTATTTCGTCTAAGATGTAGGGTTAGGGTTAGGGTTTCAATAGGGTTTTATGTTAGGTTTAGGGTTAGGTTTAGGGTAGGGTATAGTGTTGAATCCAGGGTTGAAGTTAGCCATTCGATTAGTGTATGAAATTTACAGCGGAGCAATTGTCGCCGGAGCAAATGTCATGGAATCTCTTCAAATGCCTAATTCTTATTCTAAATATGTCATGTTCGTAAAACTCGGGGGCCGGTTTTTTACGCCAAGTGTTCATGTAGTCCCATATACATCTTTCTGTGTACAGTGTTTGTAACTTTACCAAGACTTGGCCAAATTTCTTATCATTTTGATGATTCCAGAACCTTGCAAATGAAATTGACCCCTTTTTCCGCGATTTTGGTAACGGTCATGCGGTCCGGAAGTCACATTGAGTGACCCCACCGGGCTTGCAATACACACAAATTCTTATATGCTAGATGATCAACCTTTTCTGGTCGATTCCACACCGTTTCTTTTACAATGCAATCGCATGACCAGAACTCAACTTCATCGTTAACCCATATTATCGAGGTCAATCAGAGAGGGGAAGAGAGAGAGAGAGAGAGAGAGAAAGGGTATACATAAAAGTGATAAATAAATAATGTTTTGGATAAGATAAACTAAAAGAAGGGAGACAAGGGTAGAAAACGAGAGGGGGCTGAGCAAGTGACATAGAGAGAGAGAGAGAGATAGAGAGAGAGAGAGAGAGAGAGAGAGAGGGAGAGAAAGAGGGAGAGAGAGAGAGAGAGAGGGAGAGGGAGAGGGGGGGGGGGGTGGGGAGAGGGAGAAAGAGAGACAACGACAATGATTTTTTTAATTTATTTAACGGCCCATTCTGGGGCATGGGAGAAATACAGTTGAATAGTACATGTATAATGTTCAACAATGATTCATATAATTTTTTTTTTTAAACACACACAGAAAATCTTTAAAATAAAAAAATTGCGTGGTAGCGAACAACAAACAAATGAAGGCAAGCTTTAGGATATAGGTCTACTTAAAAAAAACTTAAAAAAATAAAATAAAATACATGATACCCTACATCTCAACTGGCAGCACTAACACTACTT